TTAATGTAGGAAAAATACTGAAAGGGAAATACCACCAGCCAGAGGTTTATACAATATTAACTTCTCATCCAAGAACATCCACTGTCATTTTCACCTGCTGTTCTCACAATGTTTAGTTTGCACAAGAAGATCAAATGATATGGTTTAGTTAACTGCTTTGTGGTCTGGAAGAACACGGGTAGCGTTTCTGTATCCAGCGTTGGAATAGTCATTGATGGGAACATTTTGTGATGAAGTTCAACCCTGTAGAACAAGACTATAGAGAAGAAATTCAGACCTTTCAGAGCAGCTGAATCGCTAGAAAGTTTGTAGCAACCCAGGACATGGTAGGGAATCATAAAATGGTTTGGGTTGGAAGGGACTTCTAAAGGTCATCTCATCCAACCCCCCTGCCATAGGACAGATCCTCAACTAGATCAGGTTGCTCAGAGCCCCATCTCAACCTGACCTTGAACATTTCCCGGGATGGGTCATCTACCACCTCTCTGGGCGACCTGGGAATCTATCTGGACTTCTGTAAGGCCTTTGACACGATATCCCACAATATCCGTCTTTCTAAATTGGACAGATACGGATTTGATGTCTGGACTGTTTGGTGGATGAGGAATTGGTTGGATGGTCACATCCAGAGGGTAGTGGTCAACAGCTCAATGTCCAGATGGAGATCAGCAACAAGTGGTGTCCCTCAGGGGTCTGTGTTGGGACCAGTACTATTCAGTATCTACATCAGTGACCTAGACAGTGGGATCGAGTGCATCCTCAGCAAGTTTGTGGATGACACCAAACTGCTCCGTGATCTTGCCAGGCACAGAGGTGAGGCTGACTGGCCTGTGGTTCCCCGGTCTTCCTTATTTCCCTTTTTGAAAATAGAGGTTATGTTTCCCCTTTTCCATTCGGCAGGAACCTCACCAGACTGCCACAACTTCTCAAATATGATTAATAGTGGCTTAGCAACTTCATCTGCCAGTTCCCTCAGGACCTGCACATGTATCTCATCAAGACATGTGCACCTTCAGGTTCCTCAGAAAACGCCATCACAACCACCTCCCCGAGGAAGAACAGATGGGTTATAGTTGTGGGTGACTTCCTTCTGAGGGGAGCTAAGGGTCCAATATGCCAGCCAGACCCTAGTCTTAAGGAAGTCTGCTGCCTCCCTGGGGACAGGGCTGAGGACATCACTAGAAAACTTCCTAGCCTGGTACGGCGCTCGGACTTTTACCCGTTATCACTGTTCCATGTGGATGGCGATAACACCGCAACGCGTAGTTCAAGGGGAATCAAAAGAGACTTCAGGGTTTTGGGACAGTTGGTAAGGGAATATGAGGCACAGGTTATTTTTTTTTTTTTTTTTTTCTACCCTTCCAGTTGTGGACAGTGATACTGGAAGAAACAGGCGGACTCCATGGCCGGTGTCATCGCCAGAATTTTGGGTTTTTCAATAATGCAATGGTCTACATGGCACTTGGCCTGCTGGGATTCACCCTTCTGAAAAGGGGAGGAGGGTCTTTGCTCACAAGCTAGCAGGGCTCATTGACAGAGCTTTGAACTAGGCTTGAAGGGGGAAGGGGTTAATATCAGGCTCATCCGTGACAAGCCATGGGATGACACAGTAACAAGGGCCCTCAGCCTGTTCCTCTGAGACTCACTGGGTACACTGGAACACGCTTAGTCTTACGGAGATGAGCCAGTGGCCCCTGAGGTAGAATAGACTAGACTATTTTAGTTGGAAAGGACCTACAACCATCATCTAGTCCACCTGCCTGACCACTTCAGGGCTGACCAAAAGTTAAAGCATGTTATAAAAGGCATTATTCAAACGCCTCTCGGACACTGACAGACTTGGGGCATTAACCACCTCTCTAGGAAGCCTGTTCCAGGGTTTTACCACCCTCTCAGTAAAGAAATTCTTCCTCATATCCAGTCCAGATGTCCCCTGGCACAGCTTTGAACCATTCCCACGTATCCTGTCACTGGATCCCAGGGAGAAGAGCTCAGCACCTCCCTCTCCACTTCCCCTCCTCAGGAAGCTGTAGAGAGCAATGAGGTCACCCGTCAGCCTCCTTTTCCCCAAACTAGACAAACGCAGGGCCCTTAGCTATTGTCCTCACAGGACATGTCTTCCAGCCCTCTCACCAGCTTTGTTGCCCTCCTCTGGACGCATTCAGGGACCTTCACGTCATTCTTAAAATGGTGGGGCCCAGAGCTGCACATAGTATTCAAGGTGAAGTTGCACCAATGCTTAATAGGAGCCAGCAGGGAAATACCAGTGAAATACCTCAAAGGAATTAAGGGATGTTCTCCTAAGAAGGTGACACAGTCGACAGCCCAAATGAAATGCCTCTACACCAATGCACACAGCATGGGCAACAAACAGGAGGAGTTGGAAGCCACTGTGCTGCTAGAAAGCTACAACCTGGTTGCCGTTGCTGAAACCTGGTGGGACGAATCCCATAACTGGAATGATGGCTACAGGCTGTTCAGAAGGGACAGAAGAGGAAGGAGGGGCGGAGGTGTCACCCTCTACATCAAGAACTGGATAGAGCGTGAAGATCTGTCGCTGAACAATAGCCAAGAGCAGGTTGAACGCCTGTGGGTAAGTGTAAGAGATCGAGGCAATGAAGGGAACCTTGTGGTTGGTGTCTGCTACAGGCTGCCCGACCAAGGGGAGCCTATTGACGAAGCCTTCTTACTCCAGCTATGGGAGGCATCGCACTCGCAGGCTCTCGTCCCGCTGGGGGACTTCAACCACCCAGGTCATCTTCTGCCAGAGCTGCCAGATCCTGGTGGGTCTCTCCACTGCCTCGGTGTTTTCCCCACTGTGCGCTGAGACCCACCACTCTGCTGCAGGCCTGGTCAGCTCTGGAGCAGCTCTCCTCGGTGACTGACTCCTGGCTTCAGTTACACGGCATTTAAACCTATTTTTCTAAGAGAGGGTTAAAAAACAAGGGAAATATGGAGTCTTTGTAATAAAAGTATTTTGTAAAATTATTATTTTGCTTTTTCATGCTTTTTTCCAGTTAATAGTAACAAATAAAAGTACGCCTTTATTAAGCAAACTGAAGCATTAAGTGTGAGAAGTCCTGGAGACCTTTCTACTTCCCAGACAAAGCGAGACAGGTACGACTTGATCCTTGAATCAATTATTAATTTGTTTCTGGACCTTCAGGATCACACAAACAAACCTGACTCCTTGCCGTATCACTTGAAGTGGAACTTACCAAGAATGATATGCAGAGTAGGTAAACTTTGACACCAAAGGTTTATTTTTTTTTCATCTTACTGTAGGTATACACTTGGGTGTAGAACCCAAGTGTCTCAGTTAATGTGGTGCTTGAGCACTCTATCATGGTTAATGTGTGAAGTCACCTCAAGTGGAAAGCAGAACTGCCTTGTTTTGATTTCTGGTTCTTGTGTCTGAGATGCCTGGGAAGTTATGCTGTGGCATAGTGCAGAACTGAACCCAGACTCTGAACTCAAAGGTGGTGGTGGGTGGTGGTCTGTGTTCCTCTCAGTGCTCAGCACTGGGGAAGCTGCTGGTGAAGAGTGAGGTGCTGTTACTGCTTCCTAGCGAGTGAAATGTGGCAGTAGGGATCCAGGGTGCAGTGGAACAGAATAAGACCAAGGAACGCCAATATGATTCAACTGAGTAAAAGAGTGGGAATCACCAATCTAACCTCTAAAAGATCCCATGGGTGATGCCGACACAGCCTGACGTCAGTTATGGCAGGTCAGTGGTGAATGGTCAATCAAGTTAAAACGATATGCTTGCTTTGATCAAGAAGTCAAACCTTCACTCTTGCAGTTAGAAGTGCTTACAGAGGAACTTCCATATTAGTATGGTTTCGCTTTTGCAAAGATGTGCTCAGTGAAAACATGGAAAAGTCATCAATCCCATTGAGTAAGAGGTTGTACGCCATTTTGTGCAGGTCACCTTCTGGGTTTCAGTTGTGTATTTGCACTGTTGTGTGATGTACAACTGAAATCTAAGCAGAAAGACATAACAAGTTTATACCTTTGTATGCACCTTTCATATCAAAGTAACAAGGTTGCTGGTGATTTTGACCCTAGCTGGCTTTTTGTTGTTGTTTATCTTTCTTATTAGTAGCTGTGTTCTAGTGATTTTATTTCTTGTGGCAATATTTTATGGTCAAAGCATAGTCTAAATTGGCACCTGATCAAGTAAAAGCATGTACATATCCTTGTATGCTGCTCTTGTCTGATAACTGGTGAATCCTATGAGAGGTGAATTTGGAAAAAAAAACCAAAAAGCAAATAAACTTGGGTTCAGGAAAAAGCAGAAAGCATTATTCCAGCTTTATATTGCATACTTCATAATCTATTAGTCTTAGTTCATTCCAGGAAGCAGAACTTTAAAATGATTCCCTTTAGCATCCTGAAATCTCTCAAAACTGGAGATAATCATGCTTAGTACACAGCTTTGGGGCAAAGAATGTGTCTTTTCCTGTTGTGATCTGATTGACCAGCAGAAGCTTTGCAGGTTGGAAATTCCAATTAGATAAGATGGGAAGAAGGAACTAATTTTTATGAGTTACCTTACCTTTTCTTTTGGGTGTTTTGTGCTAAGCTCAGTGAAGGAAGACTGTCTGCAAAATGAGTTGGAGTAGTTGCAGTTTGGTTTAATTAAAAATCTGGAATACTTAGCCACCATCAGCAAGATCCAGTCCGAACCAACTACACAGTCAACAAAAATCAATCTTTGATCAGAATGGTTTTTACATAGAAATCAAATGAAATTATACAGAATACTGTCAAATAATTATTTAAGGCAATATCTGACCTAAATAGGCAGTCCATAGTGCTGATTTCACTACAGTAAGGAGTTACACAGCCTAATATTTAACACCTAATCTATGATTACATCATTTGTGTGCTGGAAAGTGTAAGGCAGCATGTAGAGTGATAAGAAAGAGTAAGGTACGCGGTGGCTGACTGAAAGTCTCCGTGCCATTTCCCAAGTGCATGGTGGTGGTGGTGGTTGGTTATCTGCCTTCGTGTTGCACAATTCTGGAGTTTCCAAGGGGACGGTGTGCCTCTCTCTTTGCTCTTCTCAATATGCTCCACAGCGGACCTTCCTCCTCGCTGCTCTCCTCGGAGCTGGAAGTCCCGGTGCCTGTTTCTGTGCCGACAGAAGGCCTTTCATAAGGGTCTCTTTGGCAGGAGGCTTTCTCCTCTTGGCACTCCTGCCTCTGTGGAAACTTAAGGCTTTCATTGAAGAAGGCAGAAGCCATGCACTCAGCTGCTGTCTCATCACAAGCACACAGTAGCTTCTCACACATGCTCCAACCAATACCTTAAAAAGATGTTTCAGAATTAATGTTTGACAGCAGTTACAATTAGTCAATGTGTAATTTGCCATGCTAGATGAGCTTTTGAAAATAAATTTTTCAAATCTACCTTGAATTTTAGTCTCCAAATTCACCTTTATTCATCTAAATATAAGCCTGACACCAAGGTGCTGGGCAGCTGAAGGTCTGACTGGCTTTAGTTGACTTTGGGAACACGAAGACGCCACCAACTGACTTCTGTCTCCAGTCGTAAAATATCTGAATGTCATTTTCTCAGCATGACCCAGTCACATCAAACACAGTGGAGTACTAACTTTTACCTCAACTAGGAAAAAAGCTCGTTTTGCAGTTAAACATTGCTAACATTTTGTAAGCCAAATTTTTCCATCTCCATACTCAGCTCTAGCAGCTCACAGGCATGGTGGCCTTCAGTCTGTAATGCTTTGATACACTGTCATCAGGACATCAGAAGTTTCTTCTAACCCAAACTTACATTTTGGCTTATGGTCAAAACATACAACTTCAGATCTTGAACTTTGTTCTGCATGACATCCCAGTTTCTTAAATTGTTCCATACAACAGTGATGAGCGAAGCAGCATCTAAAATAAACAATGGATGTAACTGGGAAATACTTACTCTTCCTGCATCACAGAGTACACGCAATTTTTTGTCTATTTATTTTCAATGCCCATTAATATTGAGAAATTTATTTTTCATATAATGGAAAAATCTTTCCCATAAGGAGGAAGAAAAAAACACAAAACCTGTTCCTAGTCTTCTCCTATACCTGTTCCTACTTTCAGAACTTCCTTCATAATTCCTTTGGTATCAGTTGCTTAACAGTGCTGTAGGTTTTTGGTGGGTTTTGTTTTATTTTTAAGAACATATAATTACAATTTTGTAACTATGACCTAATCCTCTATGAGAAATGTCTTCAAGTGTTCAAATATTGTTGGCTGAAAATCTGAAAACTTCATCATGACAGCCAGAGCCATGACTAGCCTTCATGTGGTCTACTTGATTATCTATAGGCAATCTTATTTTGCACAAGTGTAGGAAATTGTGTGTGCTGTATACTAAGTGCTATACTTAAACCTGATGTGGCCCCAACTATTATAATCTTCCACACAGGGAGAGATTTTTAGTTGCAAACGCAACACTCTTATATGAGATTTCTTTACTTTGGTTGAATTATCTGCATTACTCTAGAATTACTCCTCTTTGTCAGTTGTACCATGGCAGCGCAGAGTTGGCTGTGGAAGGTCTCTCTTGAGCTGTACTCTCTTCTGAAGGACAGTACGCCACACATGTATGTTAATTATTCTGTTCATAAATCACTTTCCAAACTATCTCTTGGCCAAGCTTCACAGCAACCCTTATCCTCACCTCTTTTGATATACTCTTTCTTCTGCTCTACTTACCTTCTGTCGTGCTCCTTTCTTATTTCAATTGAGTTAGTAGCTCCTCTCCAAAACAGTGATGCAATAACAGAATGTGTCTTAGGGACATTAGAGTACTCATGTTTTATGTATTTAAGAGGATTTTTTTTTTTTTGTCCCCAAAATGTGGCCTGACTACTGACATGCAGCGATGGCAAGGCCCAACAAGAGGTATACTGATCTTTGCTGGTCCATAGGTACCCCAATAATACCCATAGTTAATGGCAGATTATAG